CTTGTAAACACTTCCAAGCAGACATTCAAATGCCCAATAAGCACATACAAAGATGCTCCATGTCCTTAGTCATCAGAAATGCCATCAAAATTAAATGCCAGCTTTCCCTGCTGGCTCACTGGTTAAGAACGCAGGTGACAAAGGTTCAATCCCTGATCTGAGAAGATCTCAAATGCTATGGAGCAACTAAGCCACAACTCCTGAGTCTGTGCTTCAGAGCCTGGGAGCAACAACTACCGAGCCCGTGAGCCACAGCTGCTGAAGTCTGAGCGCCCCAGAGCCTGTGCTCTGCGACAAGAAGCCACCACAATGAGCAGCCCGTACGCCGCGACTAGACAGGAGCCTCCACTCATGGCAACTAGGGGAAAGCCCCTGCAGCAGCGAAGACCCAGCACAGCCAAATAAGTGAAGTTGTTTTAAAAATCAGAAATGCCAGTTAAAGCCACGAGCTATCACCACCCATTAGGACAGCTAAAATTAAAAAAGAAAACCAACCAATGTGACCTTAGCAAGCTTGAGCAAATATGTAGAACAATGGAAACTTTCAAACACTTGAAATAGGAAAATAAAACAGTTAACAACCACTTTGGAAAATAGTTTGACAATGTCTTAAAAAGTTAAACGTATGTACACTGTTAAGATTTAGCTATTCCACTCCTAGGTGTTTACTCAAGAGAAATACAAACAACGTATGACCACACAAATGTTTACAGAAAACTCTGTTTGCAATAGACCCAAACTGGAAATAACCCAGAGCCCACAACCGATGAATGGATAAAGCAACTGTGCTGTGTCCGTACATTGGAATATGTCTGCAGGAGGCACCCGCTATGACCCCTGACCGAGAAGACTGCACCGCGATGAAGAGCAGCCCCTGCTCTCTGCAGCCAGGGAAAAGCCCTCCTAGCGAGACGACCCGGTGCAGCCAAAAAATAAGTAAACACATAAATAAAATTGTATTAAAAAAAAAACACCCAAGTGTTAAGAGTACAGATCTTGCTCGACTCACAATGGGGTTTATATCCTGATAAACCCATCAAAAGTTAAAAATATTGTTAAGTCAAAAATGCAATTAGGGGAATTCCCTGGTGGTCCAGTGATTAGGATTCCGCACTTTCACTCCAAGGACATGGGTTCTATCCCTGGTCGAGAAACTAAGATCCCACAAGCCATGCAGTTGTGGGGGGGGGGGGGGTGGGAAGTATTTAGTATACTGACCTCAAGAGCATCATAGCCTTAGACCAGCCTGCTTTAAATCTGCTCAGAACGCTTACAGCAGCCTACAGTTGGGCAAAACTGTCCAACACAAAGCCTATTTGGCAATCAAGTGCTTGAGTATCTCCCGTCACTTACTGAACACTGTCATGAAAGTGAAAAATAGAATGGCTGAGTGGGTACAGAATGGCTGCAATGTACCCTCGTGATTCAGCGGGTGGCGGGGCGCCACGGCCCTGCCACCGCCCAGCATTGTGACGGAGATGCAGACTGCATGCTGCCAGGGCAGCGGAGATCGGAATTCAAATCGCAAAGTCAGGTTTCTACCAAATGCACATCACCTTCACACGACTGTAAAGTTGAAAACCAGACCATTGAACCATCTGTAATTTGTAGTTGGGGACCACCTGTTATTTAACAGTTACAACTCCTCAGCAGTAAAAAGGAATGAACTCTGGATATGCACAGAAGCCCACGTGGATGGATCCCTAAATCACTAAGCCACGGACAGGCAGCCAATCAGTGTCCAGGCTGTATGATTCCATGTATATAAAGTTCTAGAATAATGTGCCATTGAGATGGACAGAGAGCCACCCGTAGCTGCAAGAAGGGATAACCACAGGCACAAGGAAACTTTTGGGGGTGAAGAAGATTGTTATTTTGATGTACTGATTGCTGAAGAGATGCACAATATGTCAAACCTGATCAAAACGCACATTTTAAATACAGGCAGCTTGGTGTACTTCAATTATACCCCAAATAAAGTGATGGCATTCTTTAAAGAAAAAACGTGCTTTTGAATACTTGCACACTGGGGCTTGCTCTCTCTCACTGCTGGGAATCCTTCTGCCACCCACTGGGCCAGCCCCAAGGAGGAGAATTGGGGCGCCCACAGGCAACGCCTTGCCAGCCCCCAGACCACTCAGGCCCAGGGAGCCGGCCCCACCCTGCAGACTCCCACAGTCCTGACCGTACATGCCTGCTACACTAGACCACTAAGTTCTGAGCTGGTTTCTTCCGCAACAAAAGCCAGCTGATAACTGATGCAGAAGCTTTCCTCTGGGAGCAGTGGAAGGACCGGGATGAGGGCAGGAGAGTGGGGGGCAGGCAGAGGTGAATAAAGGGAGAGGCCGCAGTGGCCCGAGCCAGAAAGGAGGCCAAGGGCCAGACAGGTATTAACAAGTTGGGGGGCTGGTGGGTACAGTGGGGGTGCACCCAGCCCGACCGCATCCAGAGGGAAGGAGGAGAAGTAAGCTGGCAAGAGCGACAGGGCACATCACGCACGCCTCTTTTCCGTCCTCCCTCAGCGCCTGGGGCAGAGCTGGGCTGGTGCATATGGGATGAGGGTGCTTTCTTTTTCTCCAACAGTGCCACTCAACTTACAGGATCTCAGTTCCCTGGCCAGGGATTGAACCCTGGCCCCAGCCGTGAAAGTGTGGAGTCCTAACCCCTGGACCGTCAGGGAGGTCCCTGGATGAAGGTCTTGGTCACGACCAGGAGCTCAGGCTCACCGGCAATACTGCCTGGACCGCTTCCCCTCCCAGCTCCTCCTCGGTTTCCTCGTCCTTAAAATGGGGACACCACCACCTCTCGGGGTCATCGTGGGAATGCGATGAGTGTGTGGGTGTGCAGTGCTTGGACCCTCAACTAAGATGGGCTATGTGATCTGAGGTTAGGAAGCCGCTGGAAGAAACTGGAAAGGTATTCTGGCCAGTCTGAGGAACCTGCAAGAGGCAGGGGAAATGAAAACCATCGAGAAATGAGGTCACACAACGTCAGCAAGACCTGTGACTTCTGAGCTTGACCCAGAGAGCTGGGCTCTTCCAGAAGGATCTGGGGTGGGGGGGAGAGGGGCGCTTCAGGGATGTTGATCTATTGGAGGGCCGGGCTGGCCCAAATATCCCTGGGGGAGGCACCAGGGCAGCTCCCAACCTCACCCACCCCGCCAAGGACTGGAGGTTTTAAATAATCAAGGCAACGACAACGAAAGGGACACTGTGACAAAACAAGAAGCCGCCTTCGCTGTCCAGGCCAGAGGGCTGTCCTCTCAGCCCAGGGGCCCTGGCCGGCTGACTTACCAAGCTCTCGGCCAAAATCCACCTCCCCTGGCACGCAAAGCCCCCAAACCACCTTCTGAGTACGCGACTAGGTGGAGGCACCCAGCCAGCCAGCCATTCAGTTCCACACATTGTCACTGGGCAACTCCAGTGGATTGCCTTCTAGGCTCAGAAATACAACTCCGGATGGATGGAGAGATGATCACACTCGGTGAGTAAGTCAGACAGAGACAAATATCATATATCACTTACATGTGGAATCTAAAAAATGATACAAATGGACTTATTTACAAAAACAGACAACAAACAGAAAGCAACTCACAGACTTAGAAAACAAACTTATGGTTACCAAAAGGGAATTGTGGGGGGAGGGATAAATTAGGAGTTTGGCATTAGCAGATATAAACTACTAATATATAAAATAGATAAACAATAAGGACCTATAGCACAGGGAACTAAAGTCAGTATCTTGTAAAAACCTATAAAGGAAAAGAATCTGAAAAACAGCGAATATATACCTGAATCACACCAGAAACTAACACAACACAGGAAATCGACCATACTTCAGAAAAAAATACAACTCTGTACAACAAATCCTACCAAAATATCATTATTTCAGCAAGGTTAGGTGCCAGTACGGCTGCTAAGTAGATGAAGCTTTGCCACGAAGATGTTCAAATGAGCAGCTACTGTTTTGAAGCATTTGTCAGGTGCCAGGCCCTGAGAATGATTACCTCGGCAGTGACCCTGAACCAGGGTGATCCAGTGGTTAATAAGAATCTGCCTTGCAACGCAGGGCTTGCACGTTCAATCCCTGGTCAGGGAACTAGATTCCACCTGCCACCACAGGGCAGCTAACTGGGCCTGCCACCACCACTAGAGAGAGCTGGCGCCCCACAACTAGAAAGGCATAGCACCCCCTCCTCCCCCAGCCACAACAAGAGAGCCCAGGCGCCTGCAAGGAGAGCCCCAGCGCAGCCAAAAACATTTTTTTTGAGTTGAGTGTCTCAGTTATCTTAAAAAAAAAAAGAGCCAGCTTTGTCATCTGTGCGAATTTAAGAGATTTAAACTCCCCATCCTCCCTTCTCTCACGTGTAAATGGGGACAAGAACAGTAAAAGGATCGTTTAAAGATAACACTAGTGGACACATGGCCAGGTTCTGTTTTGAGAGCCTCCTACACGAGTGTCCCAGGGGAGCCCCAGGTGGGCCTCATTCGCTGAGGTTCACAGCTGTAACCTGAACCACCCCACCCCGCGAATTCGGGCATCGAGCGCCCCGCGGAGACGCCAGCCCCTGCCCCAGTTATCATAACAAAAACCGCAGCTGTCCCGGGCGGCCTGGACAAATACCTGGCCCGATGGCGCGGAGATAGGGCTGCAGAGTAAATACATTTGCTGGCGGGGCTGCTGCGCCGCGGCCTCGGGTTCTCGAGTTCTCGACACCCGAGCCTCGCCGGGACATTCCAGCCAGAAAGG